CGTCAGCTTGTCTTCTGCCTCCTGGATCCCTGAGGCAGCTCTGTTCACGGCCCCTCAGACTCAGCGTCCCACGTCAGCTTGTCTTCTTGCTCCCTCAGTTCTGCGCCTTCCTCCCTCCGAGTGGCTGAAAGTCATGAGGAGCTCTGCCTTGGCACCATCCTCCCCCCTGCCCCGTCCACTCAGCCTCAGCACCTGCAGGACACACACTTGATTACCTGTCACCCAACTGAAGAAGTAAATTTCTGTGGTGTGTGCGTCACTGTTTCTCCTAAATGCTCTTTACGTGCCCTCCGCAGCGCGGTCCCTGCCGTTTCCCAGGTTCTAGCTCTGTGCTCTGTTGCAGAAGCTCGTCCCTGCCTCAGTCTTTACTCCACAGCTTGCAGGTGAGATGATCTGGCTTCGATTTAATCCTTCAGGGGCTTCCCTGTCACCTGTGGAGTGAAGCCTTGGCTCCCAAGGGTGACTTTCCAGGACGTGGTCCCAGCCAGCCTTTCCAGCTTCCTGTCTGGCTGTCCTGCCCTTTGGACTCTGCTCTGGTGACAGGCAGCAGTTGACAGTCTTCACACTTGCAGGCCTTTCTTCTCATAGCGCCTCTGGCCAGGGAAGCCCCTCTCCCTGTCCAGCTGGCACAGTCCTGAGCATCCTCTGGGACTCAGCTTGATGCGTTTCCTTCTGGGCAGACGATCAAAGTGCCCAGTACCCACCTCTGGGCTCAGGGAAACCCTGGACAGAAGTGTTTTACATCTTCCTGCCTCTGGCAAACTAGGTGTTTCTTAACATGGTCAAAAGAATCAGCACAAACTGGACCTTTCTGTTCATCAGCATTTCACACTGAGGTGCTCTGTAAGATTTTGTTGACTGACTGAACCATGCTTGGGGGAAACCACAGGATGTCAAGGCGATTGCTGTCTCTAGGGAGCATTTACATTCTCAGGGGGTCACCCGGGACTCACAGTCTGGGTGACTTAAGTCACCTTCCCAGTTAGTATCCCATGACATCCAGAGTGCCGAGACACCCATTTCTTCCACCCTTGGGGTCAACAAAACAGTCTATTTCAGTGTCCTTACAAATGTTATTTTTGGCCTAAAAGGAGGTGTAAGGGCCAATTTACGATCACCATGTAAAAAGAAATCTAGAAGGGAGACAAATCTGTAACCTAGCGTTCTCAGGAGAACTCGATAAATGGTAATCATTCATCATATTTAATTGGCTATAAAATATTCAAGAGGAAGAAACCAAATGTCAATATTTAGAAAGACATTGTAAAACTAAAAAGTCTCTAAATTTTTTTCTGATTATTTTAAACACTGTTCTTTTGGCTCACATTTCCTGATTCTTTCTGTATTTTAAATTCGTCCTCATGAAATCAGCTAAGACTGTAATCACTACCTTTTTCTTAGCCTCTGGCTAGTGGATATTATGTATTTTTTGACATGTAGTGGCTCAGATTACTGTCTGGTAAAAATCTAAGCCATGTTGAATCACACTAAATGTTGGGACAAAGTTGTCTTGTCATGAGTTTTCCAATAGAGTTTTCATACCAGCCTCTCATGCAAGAAGCAGAAATGTGTCAGGCAGTTGCTTCTAGTCCCTCGCCCGCTGTGGACAATGGGTTAGCGCCGCCCACTCTGCCGCCGAACTTTGCGGAGTTCAGTGGGATCCAGAACCTCGAGGTGCGCCCACAGTCAGTGCATTTCACGCAGCGGTTCTTCTGCAGGTATAGACAGTGCTGTGTACAAAGTTATGCAAGTTTGTGTGACTGACTTTAAAGCTCAGAGAACCTATTTTTCCTGTTTGTTGTGAGTTCTTCTTTCTAAACATGCAGTATATACTATAGCTAAGTTGACTTTGTGTGACAGCTTCTGTATCAGCTCAGTCAGCCTCCTAGTGTGACAGACGGTGAAAACAGAACAGAGGTGGGAGTTTCCTGAGGGAGACCAGCCAGTCAAACAGCCCACTTTAGATTCTCTTCCTTTCGTCATTTTGGGAGGGGCTTGTACTGACATCCCTCCTCCGAACGTGGCCTTGCACACCCTGGTATCCCCACAGGTGGTGTCCAGGAGGGGGAAGGACTACATCCTGAAGCACATCCCCAACATGCACAAGGACCAGTTTGCACTGACGGCCTCCGAGGCGCATCTCAAGTACATCAAGGAGGCCGTGCGCCTGGATGACGTCGCTGTGCACCACTACAGACTGTATAAGGTACGAGCTGCAGGAAGTCCGTGGCTTCCAAGAAGAAAATTTCTACTGAAACGTCTCTCATTTCTTGAAAGGCATGAAAGGAGCCTCCTTTGCACTGCCGTCTGCTCGTCTGGGAGGCGGTGGTGCTTCCTCTGCCCTGTCAGCAGGGTGGTTCCAATAATGAGATGACGAGTGGCCCCAAAGTGTGAATCTGGCTTTTTAATGATTATAGACTATTTTTCTCTTCCCCAAATCTGCTTTTTTGTTTTAAGGAGTAATATTTGTGCCTTGCTTGATCAAGAGTTAATATTCCTTGAAATGAAGCCTCACCTATATCATATCCATTAATTAGCTAGAAAATCGCCACAGCAGCTAACATTTGTGGAGTGCTGAGTCTATGGGGCACACTTCATCCTTCTCTGTAGGCCTCACAACTCCTGTAAGAAAGCACCCATAATCTCATTTTATAGGCCAGGAAACTGAGGCTTAAGGAGATTAAATAATTTCACCTAAGCTCACAAGCTCAGTGGCACAGCCGGGATTCAACCCAGGCCTTCCTGATACCAAAGCCTGTGTGGGGAGCCACTGTCTTCCACGCCCTCACCCCACAGCTCCCTCGTTTGTGTTCTGTGCCCCTCTGGCCTCATTTTTCATGCTGGGGTGGAAGTCACATATCCAAATAACAACTGAGGCCGTGTCTGCAGGGAGCCCTCACCCCTGTTTACGATTGGGTCTTGTGTCCCGTGCTCCTCCCTATTCCACAGACACCACTTTGCTGACAGAAACTCCTAAATCCCCACTTCAGTGTTCAGAGGTGGACTCTCAAATCCAATGGGAGAAGTGGCTAAGAGCATGTCAGATGGGCCTCATTGCTTGGGATTCAAGCCCGTCTTGGCTTCTTGCTACATGACCTTGTGTTTCCCCACACTTGGATGGGGACAGTAGCTTACCCACCACCTCTTAGGGTCGCTGACTAAGGGGATTGATGGAGGAAAGGTGCTCAGAGTGTGATCAACCCGTGACAGTCCGGATACCGAGCGTGGTGCCCTCAGATCGTGCTGTTGAGACTGTGCTCAGTAGCCACACCCTTTGTGGCAAGATGAGCAGAAAGAGACCGCTGGGGACTGGGCTTTAGTTTGGACACACTGTTCCATAATCTTGTTAGCTCGTTCACAAAGTGTAAAAAAGGACCACTGATGGTGGTTCTGTCTCTCTTCCCTGCCCAGGAGATGCGTTGTTAATGCCCCTCATCCTTGAAAGGCATGATTGAGTTTCAGAAGATCTCTTTGGCTTGGTTCCTAGAGGACTGAAGTTATTCTCCCTCCCTTAAGGGATTTCATTTGTGACACTGTAATTTACATGAGAATAGGCAAAAAATGACATTTTCGACAACAAGTTTGTATTTTAAATTGTATTAAAAGGACAAATGATATATTGGAAAGACTGTGGCCTCAGATTCAGCTACCAGTTAGAAAGCTTATGTCCCTACTCACTGTTGCTGGGATCCTAGGCAACCGTCCCCCAGCCCCGAGCTGTCTATTGAGTGGGAGTGACATACTTCTCAAGGTTGGGAGGATTCAGTGAGATCATGGATTTGAAGTGAGGGGAGTACCTGTCGTGTTAGTGAGTGCTTACTACATACTGATCGCTTCTTGCCTTATTTCTTAGGAGGCAAGGTTCTTATTTCTTGCGATTTTAACAAATCTTATTAAGAAATAAAAATCAAACACTAATACGTGGGAGCTAAAGGACAGGACACATGGTCATGAAGTAGGGCAGTACTGCACACTACGAAGGCGTGATGGAGAATATACAGCCGGGCTTACTGTGCTGGTGACCCGCACATGGAAAGCCATGACAGCTGCGTTACACAGATTCATCTGTGTAGGAACATTTGTGCCCCCTAATATTTTGAAATAAAAATTGTTAAAAAATGAAAACAGAGAAAAGAAATCTCTTAGCAAAGTAGATTTCCCCAGTTTATCTTTTGTATAAAAATTAATCTTCAAGTCGGTTAGAAATATACACTTAAATTATGGTGTTTCTAAATTGCACAGAAATGACTTTTCTGCTCAAAACAAGATATTTAATAAAAATGTAACTGACCGAAATGGGAGAATTGATACTGTTACCTGACGGGCAGTTTTCATTCTCTGCAGAAATCAACTGGCAGCATTAAATGTATTCCTCCTAGCGCTTACTGTAAACTGGAAGTGAGGTAGCCCAGAGAGCGTCATGGAAACAATTATTTTCTGCCCCTTCCTCACCAGCACACACCTCGTACGTGAACAGCCAACATTCGTGAGCACAGCCGTATTTCAGAAAGCCGTCAGGAAAACCTCGAGAGGGAGATTGGCTGAAAGACACAGCATGATGGGTTGATTTCTCCTTACACCTTATACTGCCTGTGCCTTTCTTGATGTGAAAATAAACTAGCTGGAAAGAAACAGCCAAGTAGTGAAAATAGGCTGTCTTCTCTTCATATGCCGGGCAAGGATGCATTTTCTAAAATTCTTTCTTCCTGTGTTCATGGGGAAATTGGCACTGAACTTAATAAAGATATGCATGATTCCATTTATTTTTGTTGAAAAATCTCATAATGAAAATACTTGAGCAGTTTCATTATCTTCCATTCTGCACTTTATACCTTATCCATGCTTATTACATCATGAGCACTTAAAAAGATGCGGTCAGAGTTTAGACTGCATTTTTAATTGTAGAATTTTTTTCCTTATGCTTGTTGTAGTTTATTTCTTATAGCTTATGGTTTACCTGATCGAATGTGTATCATATTGGCGAGTGATAATTGAATGTCTTAAATATTTCCAAATTAACTGAATGTAAAGCTTTTACCCACGTACAACCTTATTATTTATTCTCATGACAGAGCCTTAAATATTTAGTCAGCTTTCCTATAATTTTGGCTTCAGTGCTGGGAGATTTTCCCAACATACAAGGTTCGATGCATCTCAAAATGTAACCAGGAGTATTAGATTTAAGATTCTAACATCTGAGAAAAGAATAAGGGTGAGATGGAAGGTTTAAAGAAATTAACTGATACAAAAACTGCAAAAATAGTCTATTTACTGGAGTTTTCAATAACATAGTATTTAGAATAGTGTCAGATACGAAAGTGTGTATTATAGTGAAAGCATTCAAATGTCAATATCTGAAATTTGGACAGTGCAGAGTATACCATTACTGATTTTATACATGCCCATGATTTTCTTAAATCTTATAAATTTGGACAGTGCAGAGTGTACCATTACTGATTTTATACATGCCCATGATTTTCTTAAATCTTATAAGAAACTAGGGATGTAGAAAGACTCGAGCAGTTATTTAAAGTCAGAAACTTTCTTGGGCACAGTGTAAGGGTACACAGCATACTCCCTGGGTGAAGGACTCAACTGTAACTTGAACTTTACCTAACAAACACAAACAATGGAACCTAATCATCTGTATCCTCATATTGATCTGAAAGGAATTAAAAAAAAAAAAGGAACCTGCAGGAATATCCCTAACGACACAGATAGATGAGCAGTGGTCACAAAAACTTTTTTTTTTTTCTGATAAAATTCACTTTCCTCAGTACTAAACTATACACGGACACTTAGCAAACAAAGAAAATGTAAAAAATAAAAGCAAAATTACCCACCATCCCTCCACATAGACTATTGGGGAGTGTGGGGGCTGTGCATGTGTGGTGTTCTCAGACATATTAGAAGCATCACCTGTGGGCACAGCATATGCTGTTTGGGTGGTGGGTGCACTTAAACCAAGACTCTCCCATTGTGTGTGCTGTAGGTATATGGAATGGAATTCAACTTGTACCCCTAAATCTATTAAAATTTTAAAAGAAAAATGTAAAAAAAAACCCTTCTAATCATAAAATTTTTGTTTGTTTATTTGGTACTGAGTTATCCGTTGTAGAAGAAAAATATACTTTTTTTCTTATTCCTACAGGATAAAAGGGAAATTGAAGCTTCACTCACTCTTGGGTTGACCATGAGAGGAATACAGATTTTTCAGGTTGGTAAATGGGCTTTGTCTGGGCTGCTGCTGACCAGGTCTTAGATTTACGGTGTGCCTGTGTGGTCCTGCCTTGGGTTCAGTGGTTTGTTCTCAGCCCTTGGGTTCAGTGGTTTGTTCTCAGCGTTGACTAGTCATTATTTCCTTCTCGTCTAGCACAGACGTGGATGATGTGACTCAGCTGGGTTCTTGACAGCACTACATCCCCTGCAAAATAAAACAACAAGCCAGAGATGAGCCCAGGTCCATCATCAGCAGACCATTAATTTCTGAACATTTCCTTATGTGTGTCATTGATTTCTAAACTTTTTTTTAGTAAAAAATGGAGCATTTAGAACCGTGGGAAAAAAAATGTCATTGTAGTTATGATGCCTGGCTACACATTTTAATTTCTGAGATACTTTTCTAATAAAACTTTTTCCTTGAATAAGTAACACCTGTCACCCTTAACAGGTAGGATGATGTTATCATCCAGTCATCAGCAGGGGAGGGAGAGAGAACCTCTTCCTGCAAGACATAGGAAAATATAGAGATGACTTTGATGTAGGCAGAATATCGACCACGAAATTCTGAGTGTCTTACTGCATCTTTTGCGTGCCTGAGTCTTTGGGACTTTTTATTTAAATTTAAGGAGCAGCCAGAAGGGGAAAGATTGCCTTGGGGGGCAGTTAATGCCGTCATACAGGAACCAAAAGCTACAGAATCGAGTCCCTGATCTTCCTAATTACTAGCTGCACTGTGCCAAAGAGAGTTGGGGACCTCTTTCAGATTGTAATTACTGTATTTTAGTTTTCTGGGAGAGAAATTAAATCCATTTGAGAGTATTGGTAATTTTTCCCACCTACTCCACATTAATCTTAATTCCTTCCACAGAATTTAGATGAAGAGAAACAATTACTTTATGATTTCCCCTGGACAAATGTTGGAAAGTTGGTGTTTGTGGTAAGTTTTATTTAAATAATTCTTTTTTTCAAAAGTCTCTTCAGTACTTTTTGTGGATTTGGTTTGTTTTTGTTTTTTTTTTTTTTAGTTTTTGTTTTGTGGTTAATCGATGTCTCAGGCACAAATGTTGTTATTTTATAAAACTTGAAACTAAAGATGATTTGCTTCCTTGTATTCTGAGTC